AAAAAAAAAAGAAGAAAAAAAACCAACCTGTTTCGTTTGAAAAGTAAGATGTATTAAAATTCAAAATTAATTGGCTAGAAAGGGACTCAATCCTATGGATATGTAAGATACAGATTTCCAATCCTAGCAAGAAAGGGAAATAGATACTCAATTTAAAGTGATAAACATAATTTCATACTCGATCTCGTGGATACATATAGGAGTAGTTTTTTGCGGAAAGCCATATCCGATGTCACCACTGATCTACCCATGTACAATGGAAACTAGGTAGAAAAAAATTGTGAAAATTGGTCTCCGTGATACATCGCCTTATGAATAACTACATCATGTAAAAATTGGTCTACACGATACATCACCTTGTGAAGAACTAGATCATGTAAACACTGAAATTACCTTACGCTTTGGTGGCTTGGTTCCTCATGTCATGGTTATGGATCATGATGGACTGCATGGGCATTTCTATGTTATTACAGGGTCTATTACAGCATCATGAGGAAATTGTTGAGTACTTCAAAAGGAGAGGTGTTTCTGCAATTTTTCTCTTCAGAAGAAATCTTTTGCGCAGAATGGTTTCGATACTAGCAAATTCCTATGATCAGAATGCTAAGATGTTAAACGGAACCCATAAGTCTCATGTGCATTCTCCTGTGGAGGTCAGTCTAATAAATCCCTATGATGTAGAGATACATGCTTATGTCTTCATGCTGTCCTATGCAATCATGTTTTGCAGGCTGAGATACTCGCAAGTTACAAGCCTACGATAAACACAACCACGTTGATCACTAACCTAAAACAAGTACAGGATATGGCTGCTAACGCTTTGGAGTACTTTAAGAGCACGCGGCATATAATCTTGTTCTATGAGGACATAATAAAAAATCGGACTGTAAGATATTGCATATTCTACTGTATCCCTGATGTTTTGGTTCTCTTGTGAGGAAGTTCGTTTTATATGCCTACTTCCTATCGTTTTGTCACAGATACTGAATGATGTGCAAGATTTCCTGAAAGTTCCAAGAATGGACCTCCATAGTCGTCAAGTGAAGATACACAAGGGGCCATTGTCTTCACAAGTTGAAAATTGGAGCGATGTTGAAAAGACGCTCGAGGGAACATCTTATCAAAGCTTCCTACATGCAGATTACAAAATATAAATGTGCAGTCCTTGTGTATATGTAGCTTGTGTTGTTTGACTTTATTCTTTCATTATTTATGTGTAAGCAGAAGCTAAAAGGGGAACTTCTGGTTAAGATTTTGGTTGCAGCAGGCTGTCTTCGAGTTCCCAATTTTGGGTATGTATTTGACTCTTCATGTTAAATAGGTTTTCTAAGCTGACTGAATGAAATTAGCAATTTTGATCTCGAACCTTTTCTTCTCCCATCATTTTGGAATTATGATATTAATTCAATGTGGCATTGCATTTTCCACTGTAGGTAAATCACACATGTGACATAGTCCATTACGATTTCAATACCATTTACTCCTAGTTCTCATAGCCGAATTAGAGAACTGTGAGACTTAATTGGTCACCACGAGAATGAGTAAAGTTGGTGAAAATATACCTGGAAAAAACAATAGACCAAAACAACCAAATGTTTAGCATTCATTGCCTTCATTTGATGCTAGTACCTAGAGCTTTGATCATACAAGCTTAATCATTAAATTGTTTGTATCCAGTATCCACCAACCAAGTATGGCGTAAAATGGAAGAAGAGAAGTCAAACGATTTAAGGTTTTTTAAATCTGTTTGTAAACAAGAAAGTTAATGGTTTGTTACGTTAAATAATGTCCGGTTACAGTTATTATGCTAATGTGCATTTGAACCAAAATATAAAGTCAATGGCAAGCATATGCGCTTGTACATTAGCATCTCGTTTTATGTACTTGGTATGGACATAGTGGTCACTCTTCTGTACTTGAGTACTTAGTTGATGAAATTGACTGCTCTTTGGTTGGCCCAAAATCATCAGTGGTCTAGTTTGTAATGTGGCTTTATTACTCCACGTACCAATTAGGTTAAGTCTCCAAAAGAAGAAAAAAAAATCACCTCATATTAAAAGTGGAGACGCAATTCAGAATTTTGAGTACGTGAATTTTAAGTGATTGTAATTTACTTTGCACATATTATTCTCTTACTTTTTTCAAGTATATACAGCTTGAGCTAGAAGAAATGTATATATATTATTACAAATGCAGTGTTGTTAACTCTACTCATGATTATAAAATGGGTTAAACTAGGGTTGTCTAAGGGGAGGGTATTACCCGTACCCGTATCGGTCCGTACTGGTACCGATACCGCACTATCGGTCTGAATTGGGGATAAAGGTGAGGGATTTGGGTAAAGAGTAAGGGTAATGGGAGAGTACCGAAAAAAATACCCTTAGTACCGGTCTGGTTGGTACCCTTAAGGTACCATAGCGGTACCGGATCGGTACCCTTACGTTTTTTTAAAAAAAATGTAATTGTTTTTGTACCGTTAGCCAATGGCCAATAACGACTATTTTTGCCCCTCTAGCCCCTCACACCCCATACCCCCTAATTTATGTTTTTAACCCCCTAAATTTGTTCAAATACACTTCGATCTTATTCTAAAACTATAAATACCCTATTTCATTCTTTCAATTTTCACACAAAACTCTCATATATCTCTAATTCTCTCTCTCTCTCTCTCTCTCTCTCTCTCTCTCTCTCTCTCT